GGGCTCTGCTTTTGTACTTCCTTAGCACCTGAAGATTCACGTTCGAGCTTGTCACTTTATGCACAGAATTCTGTGTGCTGCCAATACTTTTTTCCCACATGAATCAATTCTTGTACCAAGCCGATCAAGACGTTTCTAAAAGAGAAAAAAATACATAAAGCATCAAACTTTTTTTTTTTTTTACCTAAATTTTAAATTTGTCTTAATTGATTTTTAAACTTAATTTAGATAATATTTTAAGCTGCTGCTGATAAATAGCTAAAGGTCAAAACAATTCATGCATGCTTCCAAGTTCTTTCTTTGGAAAAAAAAAACAAAGGGAAAAAAGATGGTGTGGTGCTGTAACTATTAAGGAAGGAATAAAGGGATGGCCAAAAAGAAGGGAGAGCAAAAGGACTCTTTGGAAACTCAAATCATAAAAAAGAAGTTGATAAGAAACATGCATGTACAACGTATGGTATTATTTGCTCCTTAAAGAAACCACAAACTCACTTCGTGGAATCTATAGTATTCAAAGAGCTGGCATTCACTTAATTCTCCAGTCTTCGCCAATATTACTCTCCTCACCAAACAAACAGCCATCTAAGAACTCTTTTTAAGGCTATGTTTTGATGAATGGAAGCTAATTAAATCTGTCGCTGAGGAATATTTAAATAATGGGCTGGAATATTAAGTACCACTTTATTTTATTTTTTTGCATTTTTTAATTTGAGAGTTTAGAATTAAAGGTGTAAATGAGCTAGGTCAGCCTATATGAGTTTATAATTTAGCCTATATCAAACCAAACTTGACCATTTACATATAGTCAAATAGAGTAGTAGACTTAGGCTTAAAAAAAAAATTATTTAAAAAGTAAACCATAGAACTTTTTATATATCAATCCTATAAGTCTACAGGCCGACCTATATCATATTATTTATTTTAAATAAAATTATTATTTTAATATTTTTTAATAATAAAGTAATATTATTTTAATTATTGAATATTTAATAGGCTTAAATAGGTCAAAAGGCCTAGGCCAAGACTTTTGTTTTTTAATTATAGGTAAAGTCAGACTTATAATTTATGCGTATATAAGCTAACAGGTCTAAGATATTTTACACAAGTTTAGACTATTTAAGTCAAAGGCTAATCTAACCTAATCTATTTACACCACTATTTAGAATGACATATTTTTCTATATTTTCTAATGGAAATAAATTTCGTTATTCCATTTTTACCTTTAATGGGATATTTGGTATGAGAGAAATTTTTTCTTTATGGAGGTAAAAAATTCTCGAAATTTGTCCGGTAAGTTACAAAAATGGTGTTTGGTAGGTACAAAATTTATCGAAAAAATTGAATTATTTTTACTAATGCTATGTTTGGTTGATAATAAAATATTGATAGAAATGTGTTACGAAGGTATGAAATGACCCATATATATAATGTTAAAATATTGAAATACAGTCAGCAAATGTTAAAATATTGTCCATAAATCGTGAATTTCGTTTCTCTATTGGTTGGATTAAAAAAATACCACAATTGAAACAACAAATTTTTTTTCCATTGCCCAGTTCAAAACGAAATGTATGGCAAAAATAATGTACCGGTATTTTCTAACTTAAAGATATACCAAACATGGTTAACATATTTCAGCTACCCCACTTTTCAACATTCCTATCAGATTATCCATATCAAACACCTCCAAAAAATTATGTGGTAATACTTCTCGGAATTCTAACCATGGGCACTCTAACTCTAACCTTCTCTTTTTGTTTTCTCTTTAGCCGTTTTGAACAAGAGCTTACCGAAGCATGCGAATTACCGACCAAAGAAATTATCCGTTAAACAACCCTTCTTATTATCTTTGTTGAATATGAGACAATAAAAAGTCAAAATAAATAAATAAAAACAAAGCATCTTGTCCAATGTTAAAACAAAAACTGCCTTAAAGCAAATAGTAAAATTAAACAAACAAAATTCTCCAGTGATATCAACTCACTGCGCTTAGAAAAAAAAAATTATTCGATTTCACTTCCAATCATCTGGTAAGATTTTCGGACTAGATGTTTAATATGAGTGATTAATATTAATCCAGCAAAGCTGAAGCAAGAGAAACAACTTTTTCATTTAACAAAATTATGAGCATTAACAAAATTACTCTATCAATTATTATTGTAACTTCTAAAAAAAAAAAAAAAAAAAAAAATTCCTCTCCAAAACTCCAAAATAAAGTAATATTTTAACCTTAATCATTCCACGTCTTTTTTAAACTAATACTATGAACCATTCCACCCTATTACATTCAAAACTAGCGGCAGAACTTTTACGCACCAATGCAGAGTTGTTCATTAACTACCAAACTGCTGTCACAAATGTTTCAACCTGTACCTTGCTTGCAAAAGGGATAAACAAAATCACGCTTAGTCATGAAAACGTTGAAGCACCTTATCTCACTGATTCTCTTTATTTAAGTCTCGGAGTAAAAAGAGTAACTTAGCAATGAATATTTTTTCTAATTACTCTGCCATGTTCTTTGTATTGGAAGAAATATTGATACTTTTAAAGACTAGATGCTGCACTAGATACATCAACAACCAATACAAACTATGAAATTAAAGAGTTATTCCATTAAACATTATTTATTGGGGTTCACAAATTATAATCTATGAAGATTATAGAGAAACAACAAAAAATAATAAAAAATAAAGAATAAAAAATTCTAGTGCTGGGGTTGAGCTTGACAGTGAATTTCAGAGTCAGAAACTCGCTTCTTGTATTGAGCAGCAATATAAGCTGTGGCTCTCATGTCAATGACAGGATCAGCTACACCCCAGCTACCTTTGTCCTCGTCACTAGGCCATACTTTGGTCACTGGCTTTGGCCCTTCTTCATAAGGGTTGTAATAATCACCTCCCCCTCTATTCTTCTTGTTAGATTTGAAAATGTTGAAAACAGATAAGAAAGAGGAAGATTTCCTTTGCCTGTTGTTGCCACCACCCATAGCTCTTGGTTATGAATATGAAAGACACTAGTAACTCTCTTTGGTTGATAAGAATTCTTCGAAGGAAATTGAAGAAGTTGTTAATTGTTATCTTGGGTTACATCTTGCAGGGTAGGTGTCTCAATTTATAGTACTAATCAACCTTTTTGTTAAACTGAGACATGACATGGGTGGAGAATCCGATTCAAATCATTGCTATGACCAATATTAATGGTTCAAAAAAACTGACATGGAACAGTAAACATTGTACCAACTTTCGGGAAAAAGGCACATTTTCTGTGGTCCGCTGGTTTCAGTCAATCATAGGGTTAATTGTTGGCTTAATTCCCCGTTTGATGATACTTTTCTCTCTTCTGTAATTTACCAATTAATTGAGCATTGATTGACAGCTATTGAAAATGTCACTTTTATTATTAACTAGATTCACCAAAGCAAATAGTTTTGTGATCATACTAGCTTTAACAAAACCGTCAATTTCTGTAAGGTCCAGATTGATGTGACAAAGTGGAAGATTCACTAGACATTAGTTTTAATTATAAGCTGAGAAGCACAATCCCATAGCCAGATATATATGAGAGCGTATAGATAATATGTAATTGTTAAATAATTAATATATAGTTGGAAATAAAAACAACTCATACATCAACATCATCAAACGAATTTTTAAGTGAGTTACTTGCTTAGGTTAATAATATGCCAGAAGAACAATATCTTTAGTGTTAAGAATAATAGTAATAATTACCCATTAAGTAGGTGAAGATTGAAGAAAGGTAGTCAAAAAGTAGCTTTGTTGATTTGGTTCATGCGCAACACAGGAGTGTGAGGTTTACGTGTTTCTGATATTTTTTAAAACAAAAGGAGAGTGAGAAAGTGAGTGAGTGAACTCTAGCCTCTAGGTGCTTCTAAACAAAGTTGATTCTCCATTTCTGCTACGCTATTCTCTTCAACCGTACAAAGTACTCAGTGGCTTTAAACCGGTGGCTGCCAGCTACGACTACAGGAGAAAGAAAGGTTCACGCTTATATATCCCAAATTCACAAAAATCACCATTACAAGTTTTAACGTATGCTCCCAAAATATCTGAGATTAACGGTAAATCAAGGATATTGCGCAAGTTTTGCATAATTCTGAAACAATTATGATAAATGAATATGATTTTGATCAATGATTGATGTGAAAAAAAATTATATTATCATTTAATTATATATTATTACATTGTTAGAGAATTTGATTTTTTAAGCAGTTGTTATATTAAAAAATTTGATAGATAATTATACAGTGATTCAGAATTTGAAATTGAGTGAAAAACTCTTCTCTAATTAGGAAAAAATGATTTTGATGAATGTTTTAATTTAATTTTAGTATAGTGTCGTCTGTCAATGTAAAAATCTTAACATTTATATTTTTTTTTGGAAATAACATTTATATTTAATTATGTGCTATCATATCATTTAATACGTTTGATATTTTGCATAATTGTAACGTAGACAAATTTATTAAATGATTTAACACCATTCTATTAAATATAAATGCATTTTTTTTACAACAACACTGGATGTAAAAAAACTGAAAATGGATCATCTCATATAAAAAAAATATCATGTAAGAAGATCACAAGGCAAATCAACGGTTATGACTTTGTAAATATTTATTATAATATTTTTTTCTCTTTTCATTTATTACCATTGATCCACACCTTTGTATGGTTATGAATCTTATGATTTTCCACATTACCATGTTATTTTTTGTTTTCACATGGATCTAAATCCAAATAAACTCTTCAATTTTTATAGAATATTCGCAGCAAAATTTATATGGGCTTCTTAATTCTTCAGCATAGCAAAATTTATATGGGCTTCTTGTTTTTCTGCACAGAACATGATCCATTTTTTGTAATTTTGTTTTAGGGAAAACCGTTGGCCCAAACAAGAAAAAGGATTTTAAGACCCAAATACATCAACCAAAATTGAATCGAACCAATCCTATCAATTTTATCCCCATCTTTCTATATTATTTTCTTTTTATTATAAAATTATTATTATTTCTTCTTTCTTTCAGATCCTGTTAGTTATTCCCTCATCACATCTCAATATCTCACGGCGAAGACCATGCGTTGAAATCTAACAGGGACGAGATCTAAGCTGCGTTGTTTTCCCAGAAATCAAGCTCCTTTTATTATCATCAAGGTTTTTTTACTTTCTCAGACTATAATTATTCCCTAATCCTTGTTTTAACCGTAGACTGTTTAAGCTAGGGTTTTCTGAATCTGATTCAATTTTTTCCCTTAAGGATTTCTTTGTTGGGTCTTGGTTAAATTTCAAAAGGTTTGTAAAAAAAATCATGTCTTTTCGAAGTGGGTAGGTTAGTTAATTGAATTCTATGTAAGTTGTGTTATCAGATTAACTTGTGTTATCAGATTACTTGTGTTATCCCTTTGGCAAATTTGATTAACTTGTGTTATCAGATTACTATGGAATAGTTTATCATCACGGCTGATCCTATATGTATCAATCAGTGTTGTGTTTATGTTGTATGCACCTTCACTTGGTTTTTTTGTCCCCTTTTTTGAAGCACCTGAATCGAATTAGTAAAGTATCCACTTCCTGATGAATATATGTTGACATCTTGTGTGTGCCTCTTATGACTTGGTTAGATACAGAATGGACTATCGATGGACCAATGGTAAGCAGGAAACTGGAGGGCGTGACAAGAGGCAACTTAAAAAGGAACAGGTAATAGATATATGTTTTTTGTACTTAAAGTGGAGTTCCTCTTATACTAGTTGAAGTCTTTAAAAGTTTAGCTTTTTTATACTGGTAAGATGATGATGTATGTAAGACATTGTGGATGTACAATTATTATTGTGATTTCCTATGTATTTAGATGAATTGCTTTTTCAGGCATATCAGGACTCCCGTACTGAGGATTTGTCAGAGGATTTTCGTTTGCCAATCCGCCACAGGCCAACAGAAAATGTTGATCTGGACAATGTAGAGCAAGCATCTCTGGACACACAGTTAACATCATCTAATATTGGCTTTAAGCTTCTCCAAAAGATGGGATGGAAAGGAAAGGGTCTTGGGAAGGATGAACAAGGTTTGTACTGTATTATCACTTTCTTCAATTTTCATCAATTTGTTTCTCTCTTCAATGAACACCAACATAATGCATTTAGCCATTGTTTTAGCTTCTGGTATGCTGCATGAGTTGTCACTGGCTCCTCTTGATTATCTCCTTCTTGCACCCCTCTTTTGTACCTCCTCCTTAGTGGTTTTACAACCTGCCTTGTTTTACTTCTGCTTTTTCCCTCTCTTCTCCTTTTCTAAGGAGTGGGTAGAAGCAAAGAAAAGCTACCAAACATGACTTCAATCTCATTATGATGCTAATAAGCTGGCAGGTTTTCTTCCTAGTCACGTATCGATGCGACATTAATACCTTATAAACATTTAAAATTTAGATTTCAAAGCATTCTGTTTTTGGTCTTTAGGGCTGCCACCTTCCATAGATCAATACCTTGTAGTTTGTTGTAAGCAATGACAAAGTTTATTGTTGTTTTTTGTTGTCTTGTTCCAATTGCCCTAGTAAATGCTCTGCAAAGTGCAAAGTAGCAGCACAAGCTTCTTTTTCTAGAATAGCTGTATTTTTTCTCTAGTTTACTGCTTGGTTACTTCATTTATTGAATCACCACTGTATTTGTGCTTACCTCATTGTAACAGGGCATTTTGGCAATTAGTTCATCTTCTTCTTCCTTTCTTTTAGTATTAATTTCATATCTTCCTAAACGTGGGATGCTTTTGTGGAAAGTGATTTGATTTTGGTGTTGTCCTTGACTTTAAATGCTTTATCTTGGTTTTTCAAATTGACCTTCTTGGCTTGTGTGCAGGAATTACTGAGCCAATAAAATCTGGGATTAGAGATCCAAGGTTGGGGGTCGGCAAACAAGAAGAAGATGATTTTTTCACTGCAGAAGAAAATATCCAGCGAAAAAAACTTGATGTTGAGTTGGAGGAGACAGAGGAACATGTGAAGAAGCGGGAGGTATGATTTAAAACTCCTTAGTAGTTGCTCTTAGTGCAAAAATGACATAGTAGTATTGAGGTTAATGTTTACATTTTCTCAAACCTGCACCTAGTAGCAGAAGGCAGCATATAGCATATATGCATGTCTTTTGACCGGATTGGTATGTCATAAGGAACCATCAACTTTGGAAGGTCTTGAGAATTTCCTGCAGTTTTTATTACCTGGTGGCTTCTTCTGCCTGCTTCGTGCACATTATGAAAATTCAGGTGGTAGCAGAACGTGAGCAAAAAATTCAAACTGAGGTGAAAGAAATTCGAAAGGTGTTTTATTGTGATCTCTGCAACAAGCAATACAAATTGGCAATGGAATTTGAAGCGCACCTGAGCTCTTATGATCACAATCACAGAAAGGTATACTATTTAACTAATATTAACTTGGTTCTGCATTTGTCAGCTTAAATCCTGAATTGGCTCAATTTTTATTTTTCTCCTAAGTCCTGATGTAAAATCCTCGATGTTAAATACAGCGTTTCAAACAAATGAAGGAAATGCATGGTAGTAGTAGTCGGGATGATAGGCAAAAGCGAGAACAGCAGCGCCAAGAGAGAGAAATGGCTAAGTTTGCTCAAATGTATCCTTTTGCTCTTATAGTGATGCACCTTTTATTTTTAATTGTAGTGTAATTTTTTTATTTTTTTGTGGGGAGGGGGGCGCTATTGGTGGGTGAGTTGGGAAGGAATCAATGTTGTAATTCTGACTGCTTTCCTCCCATGTCATGTTGGTTTTTGGATTCCTTAATGACAAGTAGTGCTGATGCTCAAAAGCAGCAACAGCTTCAACTGAAACAAGAGTCTGGATCTGCACCAGTTTCCTCTGAATCTAGAACTGCTACTGCACTTACAGATCAGGAGCAGCGAAATACTTTGAAGTTTGGGTTTTCTTCTAAAAGCAGTGCTTCCAAGGTACTTGTACACCTGATGTGAAGGTTGTGAAAAGAAGTTAGGGATTGTCATTATGTTACTTGGGAGTTGGGAATGCTTACATCTTTCTTAGACTTCCAGCATTTAGTACTTGATGTTATGTTTTTTTTAAATTCAAGTCTCAACAGTTTCAACCATGCGGATCTATTTAGTGTTGCTTTTGCATTCTTACGAAGTCCAGGTTTGTGCAAAAAATAGTTACATTCTAACACCTTTTCTATTTTTCCCCAATTTCTTGCAGAGCACGGTTGGTGTCAAGAAGCAAAATGTTGCAAAGAAGCAAAATGTTTCAGTGTCCTCTGTATTTAGCAACGATAGCGATGAAGAATAATGGAACGTTACTCTTGCAGCTCTGAATACAGCACGATGCCATATCTTCTGAGTGGTTTTTGTTTATTAGATGTTTTATTTGGTAATTTATTACCATGGTCAGTTTATATGTGGGGGGGTAAGAACATTTAGGAGTCAATGTTGATTTGGATGAGTATAAACTATTTGTTGGAAAAAAAATATTACCTGCTTATCGATGTGTGGCTATTATGCATATAAGGATTATGTTTACGTGAGTGACATGATAATGCTTGCCTCCATTAATATGATGCTCATATTACTGATTGTCAATCACAATGTAAATCCATTGGTGGCCAGAGGCAACTAGAAATGCTTCTGCTGAAACTCATTCTGGTAGCAGGAATATAGGGCCGTTTGAATTCTATTTTTAACAATTGATTAATTCAGAACAAAAAATGTTTTGTAACGTATATTTTGTAAAAGTAATTTTAAAATTAGCTTTTAGAATCAAATTTAGAGAAAAAAATAAATAAAAAACTTATTTGATAATGTCTGTTTTGTGAAAATTATTTGTAATTTTTTTAATTTTTTTTGTTGTGTTTTGATTTTTAATTTTTTTTTTAAAAAATGTAATATATCTATTTTATTGACTATTTTATAAAACAGTTTTAAGAATAAAAAAGATTAATATAATTATATTTTAATTGTTTTTGTTTTGTGTTTTGACACTTAAACTTTCAAAATAATATAGAAAATACTCATTTTATTAATTGTTCTATAAAATAATTTTAAGTACAAAAAAAAAAAAACAATCAAACAGATTTTATATTTTAATTTGTAACTTAAAAAAAAAATATTTATTTCGTTAATTACTTCACATATTTTTGTTTGTAAAAAAAAAAAAAAAAAACCCAATTAAGGTGTGTTTTTAAAAAATTAGGCAGCGAGCTTTTGCATTAATACTCACTGACAACATGGATCTAGATTTTTCGGCCAGGGTTTAATGAACTGAAACAGTATTGATGATTTTCCTATTCTAACGTAAAAAGAAGTCTGAAATGATAAATGTACAAATTCATATTTCAAAAAAAATTCACAGTTAAAAGGAACAGATGATGAAACCAAGTTCAAAAAAAAAAAAAAAAATAGGAATGGATGAAAAATTTTAGACTGAAAGTAAAGCATATTTTAGACAATAATTTAACTTTCGGGCAGTTATTTACAACTACTATTTCGCTCCTCACGGTAATCTTAAACCTGTTTTGAACCATTTTAAGATCGTATTTTTTTTATTTCTCCCTTTGTTCTTATGGCACACCATATTAATAGTGATTATTACAACTCATACATTGGCAACCAGCCAACCATCGCATTGTTATAGCACATTACTGGGTATCCTAATTTATAAGGTAAAAAAAAGTGTAGTATAAGGCTCAACACGGAATGAAATGAAAATGGTTCTCTCTTTTTTCGGTACACAAGAGGGGCTAGCCCCAATGAAAATGGTTCTTTCATGTAACAGCATACAATAATTCCAAGTAGATAGTTTCACGTCTTATGCTGCGTGTATTGCATAGATAAATAAATAACATTTGTGAATCCAGAAGGTGAACCTGAGCTATAGTAGAGTTACAACAGCTTATTTACAACACAAACAAAATTATTAAAATATTCCTAAAGATATTCCTCCAGAAGTGTACTTAGGCAGCCTCAGCAAAACCAAGTTGGAGATTTCCGTAGTCAAAGACAGTGTGATATGCCCTCATGAAAATATCGCCAAGAATCCTGCAGGCAGATAGTAGCATTAGAAAAAGGGACAAAGCTTAGAACACTGGATGTGATTCCCTTCATTCATGATTGTTCTGTACCATTCAAGTGTAATGATTTAAAATTGATAAATAATTTAAAACGGTAATATACCAGATTGGACCCCGCGGAGGAGGAATATCAAAAGCAATAAACCCACTAAGGCAGACTTCTGTAATGCCTTCTCCAGTTCTCAAAATATACTGAAAGCACAAAAAGCATTTTTTGAATCAAAACATAAATAACTGAAGAGTTAGCCTTAGTCTCTAGATGATAATTGATAACAGCATAACTTGTAGTTCAATTGGCTCTTCGGTTCTAGTATGTGCCCACATCTTTTGGAATGTTATTACTGTTAGCTTTTCTTTGAACTCCAATTCCATATTTTGACCTAGAAGTCAAAATATTCCTAAAGTTATGTAGGTACTTCCTTACACCCAATGTTCTTTTGACATTTGCAGTACATTTTTCAGAGAAAGTCGTCTACCGAAGATGCAATGTAATTTATTCATCTAAAGCTCAAACCCTAACCTGCTCTGGTGTGAGGACATAAGGTTTATCTCCAATAGTGAATGTAATGTTTGGCATCCGAGAAAGACTATTACAGCTTATCACTGATTCTCCAGATGGACTTGGCAGGCTCTCGCACAGCTGCAAATGAATCAAAACAAGTACTCACTACATGTCTACACCGTATAAATATAAACAACAACTTGAACAGGATAATTCAAAGGGCTTACTTGGTTCACATAGTTGAATACTTTATCCTTTGTTGCCTTTTGTTTTAGTTGATTCTGGATCCACAGAACAAGCATCTGACAAGAAGAACACAAAGGAGTATCTCTAGCTGATGACTCTCTCTGTTCCTTTTCAGTCACCATCTCAATCCCAGTGCTGCACAGTAATAGAATTCAAAGAAAATTTAGGAGTCCATTTCAGCCAAAATATTACAGCGCAGGAAAGGTAGATCAAGACCTATACTCTCAATTGGCAAAAGAATAAATTAATAAGCTAGTAATTACAAATATAATGGAGGTTCCTTGACAAATATTCTTTAAGAAAACTTCTCTTTTTTCTTTTTTCTTTTTGCTTATTAGCTTATGCTTGGAAATGATACTTCTAACTTTCTGACCTTTATACTCTGAAAGAATTATTAAGCATCCATTCAATATCTTCAAATTATTACCCAATTGACATGCAAAGAAACAAACATGGTGAAAAGGGCATAAAATAGAAGAAGAAAGTAAGACATTGATATATAAGATAAAAACATTCCTAACCTCTTAGATCCACCCCTTTTGCCAAGACATAAACCAACTTGTGAACATATGTCAGCAGGTTTTACCTGCAGATCAAGATGAAACTCATTTAGATCCAAAGAGAGGAGATGCAAATGGGAAAAGATCACGGGCCGCAAATCATGTTCAATACAAAAACTTCATGGAGAAGGTAGGAAAACATACCCCTGATACTAAGAGATCCCATATCAACTCTCCATATTGAGAAACGACTTCCTTACATTCTACACTCAGGACTCCTTCAGCTCCGATAGCATGGTTGATTTCAGCCACAACAGACTGAAATTAATTAACAGTCGTCAGAAATTATAAATGAAAATCTATAAGCAATTTTTTTTCATAATTATGGAGCACATACAGTTGGACCAGCAAGCAAAGACGTTCCTGAATCCACAATAGCAGCACATCCACCCTCACAAACACCTAAAAATAACACTGATATATTTCAGAATTGATGCAATTTGGAATCAAAGCGCATGATGTAAAGACACACTTTCTCAATAGATTGTATTTCTTTTAAATATACAGAAGTATGAGAGAGGGGAAAAATGCATTGCAGATTTGCTCCTTATACCATATTCCAAATCGTTTCAACTACACAACCACTCCCTTATATCTTAGTAAATCCCCAAAAGAGAAATTTCTTATTGTTGAGAAACAATAGTCACCTGTTGAGAGGCCTCCAATGAAAAAATCTCCCATTTCAATCTGAAAAAAGTAAATTTTCACGTTAAAACTTTTCTGGAGTGAACTATTACATATTTAAAAGGAATTTCTGATCAAACTAAATTTTGTTTTGCTAACCTGCCAGTAACCTTTTTTAGTAATTGGAACATAACTGTGTTTTCCTTTGAAGTGCTTTGGGTCAACACCACCAAAGACTAATTCCCCACCCTTTTTCGCTTTTGGATCCCCATTGAGCCAAAAAGAGAACACCTTTTCACCGATAAGATCTTGCTCCACCATATTGTACCTGTGATTTTATGATTGACCAGTAAAATAAAGGCACAGATAAGATTCACAATACTTCACTCTGACATGGAAATCAGTTTCAAAGGAAACAACAAAAGATAGGTCAAGACATACCATACTGGCACAGACTCTGCTACTGAGATCTCCTGAAATCCAAGCCCAAATATTCCATCAAACTTTGCTGCCAGAAAGGAAAGACTTCCTTCTCGAGTAGCCTCAATGAAATCCTACAGTTTACAATAATGACCTTTGTAAGTATTGCAAAAAATTTGTACAATCAATGTTGAAGTGGAAGCTCATAAATCAAGTACTCACCTGATGCTTGACAACAGCATTGCCAACTTTAACATTATCTTGACTGAAGAAACCAGATATTGATCCAGATCCATAACTTATTTTACATGATGTTCCTGATCAACAGTTGATAGGTGTAATTAAACTTCCATTAAATGGCATACATATATGGTACAAGAATCGTGTAATTTAATGCATACATCTATCACAGTACCGCTATAATAACATGAATAAGGAGAACCTGGCATTACCATTTTTGGTATATGTTTTGGATTTCTTTGACTTGTACCAATTATGGGTATAGCAGGCAAGCTGCAAGAGAAAACTAGTCAGTAGAATATGCTAATATATACATAGTTGTGGAGACACAAAAGTTAAGTTGAACTCACCGAGAAGTAGCACTTTGATGATGGAACCCAAAGGTTGGAGCTACCAGTATCAAATATGACAGTAAAGGTCTGTGGGGGTGTGCCAATTCCAATCTCACCAAAGTACTGAGCGTCCAAATAATTCTTCAAGGGTACTATATCTTCACCTTTTGACTTATCAATATTATATTGATCATGTGCACCCATCACTGGTCTTCCTGATCTTAAATCATCTCTTACCTTTCTAGCAGCATTAATACTCTCAAGATCTAAAGGTCTCTTCTTCAATCCAATTCTCACAATTCCAAAGGAGAAAGAAGGTAGAAGGGAACATGATAAAGCCCATAAACAGAAAGCCACAGCCAAATGCTTTTGCCCCATGGTCAAGGAAAGTATGTCTGAAAAGGTAATCCAAATATAAGTTGAGCTAGATACAGTCTTAATTTTACACAGAAGGCAAGTAACAATGGAACATGGAAGGAAATGGACAGTTCAGACACTAAACAAGAACTTATGACAGAAATAAATAAAAAGAAGATAATATAAAATTCTTTTCTGTGACTGTTTATTTGCGCAGGTATTAATTCCTCCTACCATCATATTCTTATCAAGGCTAAACGAGAAAATCTTTGGCGTCCTAGTAAGCTAGAATGAGATCTTCTAACAGCAATTTTTAATAATAACACCAAAAAATATAATTAAAAATAAAATAAAATAAAATCCAGCTAGCATATACCCTTTTCAGGTTTGGTCAACGAGACAGAAAGGAAATCCTATTGCTAAGATCTTCAACACAAAGCTTATAACCAACGTTAATTTCAGTTGATTTCTTTCTTTGTCCTCTAAGCAAGTTATTTTACACTTGTTTGACCAATAAATATAAAGGGTATGGCAAAAAACTAAAAAATCGAACAGAATAAGTTCAGTCTACTACTTTTACAATTTCATACAGATCCCTAATACCCATACGCCAAATATACGAAAGGATTCATCAAAATCAAAAAGAGAGAGAAAGGAGCTCCGAATACAGATAAACAGGACAGTTCAAATCCAGTGGAAAACTGAAGCGGCGAAATAGTTTATCATAGAAGAGGAAAAAAAAATCAACTGGGTCGAACTCACTATGTTTCAAGATCGAAATATAGAAAAACAAACTGAAACAAACAAAGCAAGTGACAGGTCAAATATAGTAAAAATAACAAGAAAAAGATGTTACTGGATAGAAACAAACAACTGGGTTGAACACAACACACTATGATGATCAAATGATTAAAAAAACTAAAATAACAAAATAGAAACTCAAACCTTTCTTAGCTTGAAGCTGCAACACAAAGCAGAAATGGAGATAACTCAGTTGGAAGGAATAATATAGGCAAACACACACACAAAAGTTGGGAAAGTCGTCTAACCAATAACGGATGTCCCATCACTCGTTGCTAACTTGTTTTGTCTGCAACCAAATTAATATTTATTATATATAATAAAAATATTTATTACGAAAATAATTTTATATTTTACATACATAATAATATATGAAATTTATATAAAAAAAATATGAATCTCACGCGTTAATTTTATGTATGAAAACAATAAAATTATCTGCGATGAAAAATATTAAATCCTAAAACGTAATTTGATTTTTGAAATATCTGCTTGCTAAACCAAACAATCGCATAGCTACGCTTCTTACTTTTTATCGTCCGTCACTAGGAAGTAATAACTACTAACCAGTCCATGACGTAAAAGTTAAAACAATCTTTTCTAAAACTTTATTCAGTATTAAATTTTTGTTGGGTACAAAGTATTAAAAATTTAACACTGTCAATGAATAGTATAGTATTACTTCTTTAGAAAAAAGTGTTTAAAATCTTTACTGTAAGAAAAAAAACCTTTTTGATTATTATAAAAATATGATATCTCATCATTTAATTTAATGAAATATAAAATAATGTTATATTATAATAGATCGAAATTCAATTCATATTCTTAACAATTAAAAAAAATACTGTTTTGTTATCAAAAAAAAAAATACTGTTTGAGTTATTCCCGCAGTGTTAACATTACATTTGATTATTTTATTTATTTATATGTAACTTACGTAGTAAAATGCTAGATTGATAAGTTCACATTGGGAGTGACGTTTGAATGAAAATGATAGAATTTTAATTATTATTTGATCCACCGTTGTTTGAAAACAAAAAAGAATTATTATTATCTATTCCAGGGTACAGAACAATGAACATTACAAATTTAAGTGATAAAAATGATAGGATGGAAAGCATTTATAAATTTCTATTTCATAATAACCATTTTGAATGGGATGTTATCGGGTTTTTTTATGGAAATATCATTTCTCTCATTATATGAGATCATTTAATTTATGCAACACACAAAAAAAAAAAAAATTCTTTCTTTCTCTTTTCTCTTTTTAACGAGTCTCATATATATTTTTAAATTACATTAAATAATTTATGGAAACAATATCCCCTTGTTTTATTCGCAAATGAAACACGAATAGAACTTGCAACTTGCAAGTAGTTGTCGGGTCTCGTTTCGTAGCAACGTTATGATTTAAGAAGAATATATGGAGATATAATGTTCTTAAATGTTCCGTGAGGTTGAGAAAGGGCATCAATTTAATTTATTTAATTTTGTTTAAGCATTACGCAACCGAAGCTTTTTTATGCTTCATTTTAAACTTGAACTAAAATTATTTGGGGGAAATAATGTGATTAAAATATTCCGCCAGCTGGAGAAGTTGGCGTGGGTTTTAGACGAATGACAACTACTACTACAGATAAGGATACATGTGGACACATCCAGCAAATTTCAAAATATTGATTAAAATTTCATTTAAACTCTATGTCTCATCTATATTAAAATTTCACAATATATTTAATACATTAAGAATTTAAATAATATAAAATATTTATTTTCTTAAGTAATTAACAATTTTAATAAAGAATATTAAAATTTTCGTAATTAATGCCTTTTAAAAGACTTGTTAACAGGACCCATTAAAATATCATAATATATGATATTTTATTGAATTATTCTAATGTGTTCAACATACAAGTTTTATGACAAATATATGTCTTACGATTTATCATTTTAATGAAAATTATTAGACGAATATATTAAATCGTTTAATTACTTTCACCTATTTTTTATTTTGAATTAACGAATTTTTTTATAATAGTTAAATTAGTTTTGAAATTTAAATTTAAAATTGTATCATTATCGGTTGAATTATTATTATTTAATTATTATACCCTTTCATAAAGTACACTATCATTCAAATCCTGTAAGGAAACTGCCTGGAACTTTCTCATAATACTTTTATGGTTTTCTTTTTTTCTTTTTCGTTTTTCTGGTTTTGGCTGAAATTTTGTTATTCTTTTCATGATCCAATTATACAAAGAGACTGAGTGGTTCACTTGACTTCCCAGTTCCCATTGCAATATTATTGGGCATCATAATGGGCTTCTCGTTCAAAAACCAAATCCATAATAACTCTGACCCTTAAAAACAATTCCTCCAATCTAATCTTGGTTGGTGCTTGGTAACCGTTTCAATGGAACGGAACACGCTGACGAATTATGAAAGAGGTTGATGATTTTTGTGCTCATTTTCAATAGTTGTTTGATTTTCCAATTGTATTAAACACTTGGGTGCTGTTTGGTTGAGGAGATTCTGTAATGTTCCTAGGCAAATTAACTTGGGAATTCAGTTTGTCTTTGTTTGGTAAGACAGATTTGGAAAGTTGGCCATCTATGCCATTTGGATGGCATTTGCTCATTTGATGGATAAAGCTAGACATTGACACTGTTGAGAAAGAGAACTTGGAGATGGGTTTTTATGGATATCCGTCTAACTTGAAAATTGCAAATTTAAAGCAACTGAAAATATCCTTCTAATATTATCTTGGTTTTGTGCTCAGCAGCCCCCCACTTCTTACCCGGTACCCTATTTACACAAGCTGCAAGCTTTTTTGTAACAATGCTTTCAGGCAGCTTCTTACTTGCAGAAACAATAACATACATCAAATAACAAAGAAACAACGTTAAAAATATAGAACCGGACATGTTTTCTGTTAGCCCCTGTAATAATGTTCTTCTTGGTTTGGTTGCAGGAGCTCCATCAGCATCAATAACGAGGCTGAGAATGCAGGTGTCAAAGAAATAGAATCTGGTGAGGAAGTTGAAGATTATTTCATCCCAGATATTCAATCACTTCTGCAGTTGAGGGAAAAATATTGCATTAAGTGTCTTGAGCTACTTGGAGAATATGTTCCCTTGAACCTGCTTCTTTGTTGGGAACAATGACATAGACAACGATGCTTGGGACTCCCTTCCATTCTGATGAAGCTACTGCTCTTTGCACGAGACTGGCTATGGCTACCTAATTTGGATCTGAAAAAGAAGTAATTGAATTATAGAGAGAAATCGAAGAGAAGTGTATTGGGGTTAAATTTGTAATTTTATATCATTTACCCATCAATATTTTTTCTTAAACCAAACATAGGTTTTCAAATTTTCATAAATTTTCCTGGTAAAATTTTATCCAACCAAACTACTTTTTTTTAACCTCCCCATCTATTTAACTTTCCATGTGGATCCCCAGTAATTATATTTCTCCGGTGAACTAAAATATACTCGTGAACCAAACACCACCTAAACGGAACGTTTGTATTGACTTATCAAAAAAATATTTTTTTTATGACTTTCTATAAAAGTTATAGCTATTTAGATTTTTTTAAAAAATATTTGATTTTTGTAAAAATTATTTGACTTTTGACTTCTGTTTTTTATAGAAGCTAAAATTTTTAGCTTCCGAAAAAAAGTAAATTTTTGACTTTTTTTGACTTCTACTTTTTTTAAAAGCAGGCATCCAAACAAATTTTTGTTGAGAAATGCTTTTTCTTTCTTAAAAAAAAGTAATTTTTGAAGAAAAAAAACTCATTCAAATAAGATCTTAATGATATGCCACCCAAGCGTTCGAGTTGATATAGAAAACTCACACAACACAAACATACACACATACACCAACTAATTTTTAAAAATGATACATATTTTTTTAAAAAATTATGATATAACTTTAATATTGATTAAATTTTTAAAAATAATACAACTTTAATACTGGCTGAATTTTACTTGATTAAATCTGATGACATTGACTGACTTTCTCTTTTAACTCCGCCACTGCATATATAGTACCTTAGGTAGTGTTTGGTTCAGGACAAATGAAAATTATCCCATCTAAGTGTAAGTGGGTTTCCTGAAACTCCACGTTTGGTTGAGGACAAAGTTTCCCTTAGCCATCATTCCTCCTTGTCCAGCTATCGACAGATGAGTGTAAAATGGAAGAAAATCTCGAATTCACTTGCCCTCTCTCACCATGGTATTGTTGTGAAATCCGTTTTGATGGAAAAAAGAAATGAAAAATAAGACAAGTTTACCCCCTCGTTAATCAACAGGTCAGGAGCATGTTTCAATTTTCAAGCCCATGGATGAGGAACCAATGGCTGTGAACAACCCACCAGATTTACCAAGTTCATCCAATGGTGAAGGTTTAAAAAGAGGGACAAAGGTGGGAGAAAGAGCCTTTAGGGAAGTTGCAGCTTACATATTAGATCATCCAAGAAGTGGACCACGTTTGGTATCAGGTGAAGACATTGGAGGTAATTCTGAGGACATTGGACCTGCAGCATTTCCAGTGGAAGATGTGCATAAGATTACTGTGGTTGATATAACAATGGCTAATGCAGACAGGCGATGGAAATAGTTAACGACGATAGCGAAAATGGAAGACAGAGACACGTTATGGTTCGAAGGTTGTAATGTTTTTACAAGGATAGTTTTGTAATTTAATTAAGTTTTCCCATCAATATTTTATCTTCAACCAAACACACATTCCAGAAATTGAATTCAATTTTTCTGGTAAAATTTTGCTCAACCAAACAACTTTTTTAAAACTTTCCTATCTAACTCACTTTTCCTGCAGTTCCCTAGTATTTACATTTCCCTAGTCTTATTTTCACCTCAACCAAACACTACCTTAATGTGATCCAAATTTGCCTTGTCTTATTTTCATGATAAGTTGGTTTGTTTGCAGTGACAAACACATATGTGTTAGTGGCTCTGTGATTACTATTTAATTCACGCAGGTATATTTCTTTATGCTTTCTGTCTTCCCAGGTTTGAATTTATGTTAGAGTAATTCAAAGTCAACAAATATTTATTTTCTACAATATGCTAAGGTGTTAGGTATCTTTGGCTTTCTACTATGTAGCAATAAATTGAATCTGCTATGTGATGTCGTTGAAGCGTTTCCTTTGTTCTATTTTAGGCTAATGAGAGAGACAACGAAGATCTTCAATGTTGTTGGAGTATTAACATTTTGGGTCCTCTGCCAAATGCAATATAT